CCCCCCTTTCCCCCCCGCCCAGCTCCTGGACCCCGGGCAACGGCAGGGGGGGGCTGCCTGGACAGGCCACCCGCCGCCCAGCTCCTGACCCTGGGCATAGGCAGGGAGGGCATGCCTGGGAGGGACACCCCTCTCCCCCCCTCCAGCTCCTGGACCCCGGGCACAGGCAGGGAGGGCATGCCTGGGAGGGCCCCTGTCCCTCGCTCAGGGCTGCCGCCCCATTAGCCCCCCTGACAGAGGACCCTGAGACTCAGCAGGTGTTTAGGTGGGCCCTGGGAGTGGGGAGCTGTGGATGCCCCCAGGGGGTCCTGGGAATAAAGACAAGAGGAGGGGGAGGGCTCCCACAGAGACCTCCATCTCTGCTCCCTATGGATTTGCTCAGGGCCCAGGCCTCCCCGAGGGCCTCTCCTGCCCCGCGACACCGTCTGTACCCAGATGATGAGGCAGGGAGGGCATGCCTGGGAGGGCCCCTGTGACCCAGGGAGGGGAGTGTCCCTCTCTTTCTGATACTACCTAGAGCCCCCCCACCCCAGCCCAGAGCGCTCTTGGCACTCGGCCCTGAGCTGACCCTTTGGGCCCATGAGGACAGTGTCGGAGGCCCCTCACTGAGACCACGAGCTCCAGGGGGTCACTGGGCTGTGACAGCAGGTGGGGGAGCTGCTGCAAGAGCCGGAGCACCTGTAGCCCCCCACCCCTGGAGGGCTGAGGTCGCAGGACTCGGGGAGCCCAGCCTGGGTCTGTGAAGCCCTGAGAGACCCGCTGCCCGCTCCTCGTAGAGGAGGAAACTGTCGGGCTCCGTGATCAGCACAGCAGGGTCTCGTTCTCTCCTGAGGCCACCCTGGGCCTGTCTGCTCCCCACATTGTCTGAGACGAGGACGGGACCCCCTCACCTGGGACCAGGAGCTCCAGGGGCTCGCTGGGCTCTGACCACACCTGGGGGCTGTTCCTGAAGGAGCCGTAGCACCTGAACGTCCACCTGCGGCCTGGGGTCACGGGGCCCACGGGGAACAGGGCCTGGAACAGCCCGGAGGAGAGTCTGTGTGAGTCCAGGGTCCAGGAGAGCCCGCGTTCTCCTTCCTGAATCAGAGTGAAGGTGCCGAACCCCAGCACTGAGCCACACCGGAGGGTCACGTTCCCTCCTGAGGTCACCACAGGGCTGGGCAGGGCTGAGAGGGCGGGTCGGCTGTAGACTCCTGGAGAGAAGGGGGCAGCGTGTTAATGGCTCCCACCTTCCACGTCACCCAGGGCTGGGCTGTGCGAGGGGGGACCCTGAGAGCAGGCCCCCTCCCTGAGGGCAGAGCCTGGGGCTGGGGCCCGGGTGTCCTCTCACCTGTCACCACCAGCTCCAGGGGGTCACTGTGCTCTGACCACCCTGCAGAGGTGAGATAGTGACAGCGATATCGCCCTGCGTAGTGCCATGTGGTGGATGGCTTGTCCCCAGGATCCAGGGAAGCTTGTGTCTCTGGGCTTCCCTCCTTATCCAGACGGTACTCCCGGGCCTCCAGGCTCCCCTGACACCCGATGGTCACGGGTCTCCCCAGGGTGACCACAGAGCCTGGCTCAGCCCAGATGGTGGGTCTGGGGAGGGTCCCTGGAGGGAAATGAGAGGCTGGTCCCAGGACACCCCCCTCAGATCCCAGCTCCCAGCCCAGGCCCTCCAGTCGTCCCCCCTCTCAGCCCAGAACTGCTGTGTCCATCCCCAGCTACCCAGGGGTGGCCCCTTGTCCCCAGGAGGAGGAGGGACCCGGGACTTAGGATACACTCACCTACCTGCCCTCAGGTGAGGCCCAGACCCAGCCCTGGAAGAGAGACCCTGTGAGAGGTTCGCCCTGGAGCTGAGCAGGTCCTGCCTCCCCTGAGCCTCCTGGGCCCCTGGGGCTCCTGGTCGAGCAGGGCCTGGTGGGGTGGGGGCCCTCCCAGAACAGGGTCTCCCCCGCCCCTCCTCCATCTCACCAAGGCAGAGCAGGGCCGTGAGGGTCGGGGTCATGGCGTCTCCCCCACTGGTCCCGGCTGTGTAGACGGAGGAGACCAGGGTGCAGGCAGGACAGACAGACGCGCAGGGTGTGAGCACTCAGGGGCTGGGCCCTCCCCGTCATGGGGCTGTCACATCATGAGCCCCAGGAAGGGGAACTGGCCCTTTCCAGGCTGTGACTCTGTTCACAGGGTTGGGGTGGGGCTGAGTGGGGCTCTCTGCAGACATTCAGTCAGGGGGTCTCCCTGAGCCCGGGTTGCTGTCCGTCTGCTGTCCGCCTGCTGTCCTCCTCCTGCCCAGGGCCCGAGTGCATGTCTCCTCAGTGTCTGCGATGCACTGTCCCGGGGATGCTCCACTCAGACACGTGTGAACCCCAGGTTTGCAGGACAGGCTGACAGCAGCTGGAGAAGGTGTACCTGGCCTCCCTGCTCTGTGGCCTTCCTTGCTGGGTGCTGCTTTGGAGCAAACCAGTGTGCTGTCTCATGGCCAGGGCCGGGGGTCGCAGTGCACTCAGCCTCCCTGAGCTGATGTCAGGCTGTCCTGGGGCTCCTTGCCTCTAAGGGTGTAAGGGAGGGTACACTCATTTCCCTTTTCCTGTTCTTTGGGTGCCACATTCTTGGCTCAGCATCCTCCTCCTCCTCCTTAAAGTCAGCGGCCACATTACCCAACTTCCGCTTCCCTCTCCTCACCACTGCTGCTGACCCTCTGCCTCCCAATGTCATTTCTAGAGCCCCCGCAGGACACATGGCCCACCCCAATTATCCAGGTCAATCTCCCACCGCACTCCTTAACTTCGTCCCATCCGCAAAATCTCCCTGGCCCGCAGGACACCAGTCACAGGTTCTGGGATGAGGACGTGGGCCTCTCTGGGACGTCCTCGTCTGCCCACCCAGAGCCCCTGGAATGTCTTTCCCCAAATCTCCTGACTGCCCGACTTGCTGGGCTAAGTCTGGGCTGCCCCCTGGCACCTGGGTCATGATGAGAGTGTTCAGGTGTCCTGGAGACCCGGCCTGCTCACGGCCAAGCTTTCCATCTCTCCTGGACCCAGGAGAGATCCGGAAGCTGATTCACAATGGAAGAGGAATTCCTGAGACTGGACACGTGGGGCTCCAGGTGGAGACTCCCAGCCCCTGCCGGGGGCTCTGCCACAGCCTTTCCACAGAGCTCCCCCACTCTGGTGGGCTCCCTGCTCAGGCTTCCCACAGCCTGAAATGAAAAAATAATTTAAAAAATGAGGATAATATACAGTAAATAGTAGATACCATTAAACATCCAAACATCTGGATAACTGATGTCCCAGAAGGTGAAGAGACTCCTACGGGCATTGATAACCTATTCCATGAAATCCTGGAAGGAAACTTTCCAAACCTAGAGAGGCATTCAAAGATCCAGACCCAAGAAATACAAAAGACCCCAAATAGGATCAACCCAAGAAGATCTTCTCCAAGACACATTATAGCCAGAATGACCAAAACCACAGACAAAGACGAGATACTCAGACTGGCAAGAGAGAAACATCAAGTTACTCACAAAGGACATCCCATCAGACTACTGCTGGACTTCTCATTGGAAACAATGTGAGCAAGGAACGAATGGGAAAATCCATTCAAAGTGTTGAGTGAAAAACAATTTCAACCAAGAATACTATATTTGGCAAGCTTATCCTTTATATGGGAAGAAAAGATGAAAACATTCTCAGATAAACAAAACCTGAAAGAATTTACCAATGTTAGACCAGCAATTCAAGGGGGAATTGCTACAATTGAAGGGAGTGCTACACCAGGAAGACTAAGGACAGACAGAAATAAGAGAGTGAAAATGACCAAGAAAACGGCCTGCTTAGTGGGGGGACAAGTCTGGGAACAGCAGTAATGATGCCGAATGCCCACCTCCAGGGTTGAAATGGAAAGGTCAGACCACAGCAGCACCGCGAATTCAGCGAGAGAGAGGTGGATCGCACGGGACTGAACTGGTGAAAGAGAATTCCATGACTTCTAAAACATTACCGATTTTCTCCCATGCCTTGTCTTCCAGATTTAAGGATTTTTGTTTTCTTTTGAGTTGTTGATGGGTTCAGCAATTTGTTAATTTTTTTTAAATTGAAACATAAACTTTCTCCCTTGCTGACCCCTCTGCAATTGGAGGATATTGTGAGCATTCTCGTTTTGTTGCAGAATGGTTATTTGCGTAAGTTCAATAATACAATAGTACCCATTGCTTTGCATCAGAAATTGAATTCTTACAGAGCTTTGTGCAAATAACAGACCAAATGGAGGCTCAACTTATTATTATTATTTTGCAAATAAGTTAGTTTATACCTCTCTTTAGTAAGAGGGGGAGTGGAGAGAAAAAAAATGTTTCAGAAAAAAATTACAGTGTACTTGTCACTAGATTTTAGCTTTGTCCATATTTTTAGTTTAATTAAGATATTTTATGAATCAATAAAATGAAAAAGAGTTTAGTATGGGAGGGAGGGATGGAGGAGAAAGGGGAAGAAAAAAAGTAAAAGTATATTTAATTGACAAAAAAAGAGAAGCTATTTGCTGATGATAATGTATATAGTAATATCTTTGTCTTGACTGATATGCATGGTATTCGTGCTGGAAAAAGAAATGTTGCACACTATAAAGGTGTATATGATTAAACGTAAATAAATTTAAAAAGAAAAATAATAAGTCAATAACTAAAATAACCAATTCTTGGGACCAGCAGTTGCTGTAATGGCTATGTTGCTGGACTCTCACATAGAGACCGCAATTTGAGTCCCGGACCCAGTGGCTTAAACTCACACCAGGTGCGTGTGCACGCATGTCCAAGATCCCGAGAGGAGAATGGAGGAGAAGGGATTGTGGTATGGCCATCTCCCCTGGGGGGTGATTTCTCTCTTTCTGTCTCTTTGTCTCTCTCTGTCTTTCTGGTGAGCACATGCTGTATAGCAGAAACCTCTCCAAAAAAAAAAAAAAAGTTTTCTCAGAAACTACCTTCTACATTTTCTAGAACTGAAAAATTAAAGAGCATTTGAATTCTATAAAGATATTCAAGTTTGCAATTTTATGACACACATGGCTGGCATGAGCTTTTCACTTAAGAGTACATCTTTAAACGTGCTCCATTTAAAAGGTGACTTCTTTATCATCTTTTTTTTCTTTTTAGAAATTTTCTTTTTTAAAAATAATTATTTATTTATTTATTATTTACTATTATTTAAATTTGATCAGAGAGAGAGAGAGAGAAGAGAGGGAAAGTGGGAAAGCAAGCCTCCAGCGCTCGAGCTGCAGTTGGCCATGTGGGAGTCCAGCAGCTTACCCACTGCGCCACCTGCCGGCCCTGTCTTTTAGTGTTCTTTGTTTAAGAGGTTTTGTCTTAGGGCGTGCACACTTGCTGGGGAGAGAGAGAGACCGAGACGGTGAGAGCGAAAGTGAGAAACCTCTCCTAATAGAACCTGGGGCCTGAGCACACGCTCAGCCTGAGTTTCAAGCCACTGAGTCCGGGACCTGAACCGCAGATGCCCATGTGAGAGTCCAGTGACGTAACCACTACACCACCTGCTGGCCCCCTTCTTTATTGACTTTCACCTCAAATTACTCCACTTGGAGTGTGAACCTAGGAGCACTGAGCCCGTCCGCTGCGCTCGGGCATTTGGAACGTCCCCTGGTATTTCGGAGGCACAGATGTTTTCAGGAACAAGGAGGACACTCATTTTCATGTTACTGGAGGTGTGCCTTCAAGGAATATTCCGTCGACGCCTCTCCCGGGCAACGGTGTAAATACACATGTTATTTTGGTGGATATTGTCAATCTCCTCCACATGGACTGCAAGTCTGCATCCCACCGGCAGTATGGGAGCACACTGTCTATTCAGACCAGCTGAAGGGGGCCAGCTGGGGGTCTTCGGGTTTCGTCCAAATCAGCTTAGCACAGACTGCTCGTTTTAGTTAAGAAAATCTGCGCCATCTTTATATGTGAGCGTGCTATTCTATCTTCTTTAATGTTCCCGTTCATACTGTTTTCCACTTACCTAGCTTGTGTTTTTTCGGTATGCAAATCCACAGACAGACAGAATCTTAAACATATGCCATGTTTTCTCTTAGTTTTCACTTTTGTGTTGATTTTTTCTCATGTAAGATTTTTACAGCTTTATCTAGTCCAGTTCCCAGTATTTGCTTGCTACCACACCCGGGTTTAAATGCACGTTTTACCTTTTCCTGGAGTTGATCACATTCATGACAGAGAGCACACAGGCAGGAGAGCCAGCGTGAGGGCAGACCTGGCATGCCCGGTCCCGTGTGCACACGGAGAGTCAGCGTGAGGGCAGCACCTGACACGCCCAGTCCTGTGTGCACAGGCAGGAGAGCCAGCGTGAGGGAGCACCTGGCGCGCCCGGTCCCGTGTGCACATGGAGAGTTAGCGTGAGGGCGGCACCTGACACGCCCTGGTCCCGTGTGCACACGCAGGAGAGTCAGCGTGAGGGAGCACCTGGCACGCCCAGTCCCGTGTGCACACGCAGGAGAGCCAACATGAGGGCAGCACCTGGCATGGCCTGGTCCCGTGTGCACACGGAGAGTCAGCGTGAGGGCAGCACCTGGCACGCCCTGGTCCCATGTGCATACGGAGAGTCAGCGTGAGGGCAGCACCTGGCACGCCCTGGTCCCATGTGCATACGGAGAGTCAGCGTGAGGGAGCACCTGGCAC